TTTTTTTCTGCAGATTTCTTTGTCTTACAGTGTCAGGGAAAGGGTAGGGGAATGAGTGTGACAGTGGTGATGCTCACACAGCAGACATTTACTACATTTCAGTAAGTTCTCAACTTGACACTAGCAGATGTTCTCAACAGCAGGAAAGGCTGGGGTCAATGTTTACGCCTACTGGACTCTGATCTTTTTGAGGACATAGATGCTTACTTATCTCTGTATCCCCCAAGGCTAGTGTTTGATGCAAAGTAGGTGGTCAGTAATTTGGGGCAATGGAGTGATTGGAGTATATTAACTTGTTTATTCACATTTCCATAGGATGTGCCCCCAACCCCAGAAACCAGTTTTTTTCTTATGTATCAAAGAATTCCTGGGGTCTAGAACACTGCCTAGCTTCACAAGGTTTACTTTCTAGTAGAAGACACATATTATGCTTTTGAAACAGTGAAATGTTAATTGGCAGTAATCCTGTTCCTTTGTGTAATACTTTCAAGTTTGTTTCTAAATTGATTTCACAAGTTTGTGTACATTATCGCACCCATTAAGTGACAGAAGGATGTTCATGAAGAATGTTATAGAAACTCAGGAGAAAAGACAAGTGTGAGCAGGAGACTAGGAAGCAAATTCTGGCCTGAACAAGAAGTACACAGGAGGACTGGATACTTTCAGGTTAGAGAGAAGGAGAGTAAAGGCACAGAGGTCACACCAAAGGCTACGTGCCCAAGTACTATGTCCTCCTCCTGTGCTTCTGGAGGCAGGATATATATCAGGAAGCCATGAGAAACAGGGGGAGTATGGGTAGGATCACGGTTCGAAAGGCTTGACGCAGCTTATGGTGATAGTGTTAGGCCAGGAGAAATCTTGAGAGGTATGAAATAGAGGTCGCAATGTGAGCATGGTGGCTTCCGAAGTCTGCTCTGCCAGCCTTGAATTACAGAAAAAGGTCAAAGTCTATTGTAGTAGCTCATCTGGAGAGTAATGAGGGTTAGAAAATAATCTTGTGTATTATACAATGAGTAATCTATCAAGTAATGAGATAATTTAACCATCCATAAGCATTTACAACAACTATGTTTATTGACTTAAAACAATTGAATAATTGAAATTGTAGTAACTAGAACTTCAGTTTGTTTATGAAAAAAAAACACTGGCATAGGCATTATAAAGGTGGAAATATCCATTTGAATACATGTAACTCCATTTGGAGAATTTTTTTATTACCAAAAGCAAGTTTTTGAAGTAATAGAGAAAAATATGGAAATATTTTTTGCTGTAATCTAAAAGAGATAGGAATTGAAAACTCACATAATGAATTCAGATAGAATAAATCATTCCTTATTGTTAATTTCAGCAGCCTATTTTCCTTTTTCATAAGTTTCAGAGAGGCTTTATCTCAGATCTATTAGAGAAAGAATTTTCTACCATCTAATACCCATTGGACAAAATGGAAATTAGAATTAGGTAAGTTTTGTCTATCTAAGAGATAGCCTCTCTGGTTTCAGGAACACTCTCTACTTTCTTCCTCTCAGGTCCCCAGGGTAGACTTATGGATTGGGAATTGGTTTATCTAGGCTTAAAGCAATTACTTCTGCCTTTAGATATGCAAGTAGATGGTAAAGAAAGCTATTAAGATCATTATAACAATAATAGCTCAGTAATCAAGAATTCTGTATATTTTTCAAACATATTGTACTAAAATTTTCAGACCAAAGTGATTTTGTGCATGAAAACAGAGCTATGAAAAAACTCATAAGCAGATGTCATGTATTTAACAACAGATTAGTACTATCGTACAGTAAAGAACCATGGTGTCAGATGTCAGGGTCAGGTAGGTTCTTATACTTTATTTCTGATAGCTAATATTCAATTCTTAGAAATGCATTTGACTTTGAATCAGATTTAGTTTTTTAGTGTTCTAAATTGGATTTTGTTTTCTACACAGTGACTGGAAGGACAGAAAACCTATTAGACTTTATCAGTTTAGCTCCTACCTTTTTGTTTCTTTGTCATTTAACTTTATAAACAAAAAGAAAAAACTGTACAGAACTATTTGACCACAATTATCAATTAATTCACCATGCTGCTTCTCTAATAAATAGACTAGAATAAGGTAAATAACTATATAGATATATATGATTTTAAGTTTAATTAGAGATTATGTTGAAGAACTATGAGCTAAGATGAAATGAATGAATACTGAGCAAAATGTGAAAAACCAAAATCGAGGATTTATAAGCCCTCAAGAAATTCAGTAAAGTTTTCCCATAGTCCTAGAAAATCCAAGCCATACATTTATTTTTAGGTGAATTCCACTAAGATTTTTAAGAGATAATGAATTCATTTCTTAGGCAAGTTGTTCAGAAAATAAAAGAAGCCATCCAGCTCACTTTATGATACTAGTGGGATCTTGATTCCAAAAGTAGTTAAAGGAGGACAAATAAAAAAGAGAAATGACCCATTTCATGTTTGACTATAACACAAAAATTCTAAGTAAAATATCAGTGTATTAAACATAAGTGTGTGTGTGTGTTGCATTAAGACTAAGGGTTTATCCCTTTAAAATCAGGAAAAAGGATGGTCCATATCACCACTGCTATTAAAGTTAAGAACAATTCCATTAGAAAAAAAAAAGCCATATTTACCAGACACAAAATCAACTGATAGAAATCAATAGCAATTTTATATGATTCATAACCAAATATAAAATGTAATTTTTAAGATGCATTAAATTTATGACCTTAGGAAAAAAACTTAAACAAAAATAAAAGTTTTATGGAAAAACTTGTAAATCTTCACTCTAATATAGGACATAGGAAATGATCTTTATAGAAACGTTTTGGGACCGCTGGTAGAAAAACCTAACGTCAGTGTTCCTAAGTTAATTTATGAATTGATTGGTGTCTCAGTTAAATTATTTTGATATATCTATTCACTACTGTAAAAGTTACATGAAAAGAATAAAGACCATGAGTAGCGTAGTTAATCCTGAAAAAGGAAGAATAAATTGTACCAGGTATTAACATATATATGAAACAAATGTAATTAAGAAAGTAATGGAAATAAAGAGTGTAGAAAGCGAGACATTTGCACATGTCTAGATAGATACATAAATACATAGAAGAAAGAGAAGGAAAAAAGAAGAGCTGGTCTTTTTGTAGATAATCATTCTATCTGTAAATATATGTTTAAATATATACTCAAATATATAGTCACCCACTAAAGGTGACACCAACTCATCACTGAGGAAAGGAGTGTTTATTTATTTATTACTTACTTACTTATTATTTTGGCGGTACTGGGGTTTAAAGTCAGGTCTTCACACTTGCAAAGCAGGTGCTCTACCACTTGAGCCACACCTCCAGGAATGTTTATTTAATAGAGAGTATTGGAAAACTATCTTAACTATATAAAAAATAATCTAATGCCATATATAAATGAAAGTAGACTGTAGATGGATTAAAGACAAATGAAAAAGTAAAAAACCATAAGTGTAAAGCTAATTGACAAAAACATCAAAACAAAATCTTAAGAACATAAACATTTAAAAAAAGATTCAGTTATTTCAAAATCAGTAATTTCTATTCAACTAAGAACATAAAATTAACAAACATATGACATGTAAGAGAATCCATTTACAATGTTTTAAACCAAAAGGACCTGTTATCTAAAATATTTAAAGAACTTTTGCAAATCAACAACACAAAGACATAAACCACTATAAAAAATGGGCAGAGAGCATGAACAGGAAATTTATAGAAAAGGAAATCTTAAAAACTAGACATATTTTAAAAAATGTCAGATTTCCTAGTAATAATAGAAATACAAGTTAAAACAACAACACGAAATTATTTTGTATCTATTACGCTGACCAAAATTAGAAAAATATTATGAGTCATTGGAAATGTGGACATATGAAAACTTCATGTACTAGTGGAGGAAGTGGGGCCAGAGCAGTTACTGTGAAGAGCAGCACTAATGACTCAGATGGAATATATACACGGTCAGTCCTACTCCATAATATAAATCCCAAGGAGATATTCACAAAAATTAAATAGCCATGGACACTAGACCCTGTTCATAGATCTCTCTCTCTCTCTCTCTCTCTCTCTCTCTCTCTCACACACACACACACACACACACACACACACACACACACACACACAAGCTGTTACTTATGGGGTAGGAAAGAAGTAGAAGTAGGGAGTTGAGATAGAAGGATAATTGGGACTAAAAACATTTTAAAACCTCAAAATAATGAAAAGTCATGATTCTCTCATGATTACACTAGGCATTTTATTCTAACAGAATAATAGTAAATTTATCAATCTTTTCTTTAGTGATATCTATAACATTTATTTCAAATAGTTGTTGCCTAGCCAAGCATGTTGGTAAATAGTAATTCTACAACTATTTTCAATTCCTGTGAATAGATTGATTAATAGCTATTCAATAATGAGCATACATTTATTCATTTTTTATCCTTTTGTACCTCGCACTGAAACTATTACTAATTATTAAACTGATTTTTTTTCTCAATTGACTATACTGGACAAAATAATTTATACAAGTTGACCAAACCAATATTGTAGACATAACCAATGCATAACTTTAAAATATTCCTCTGATTGTATTTTTGTTTCATTTCCTATATTCTTTCCTGAACAATTATTTTAAGATTGGTGAGATGAAGTGTATAGAAATTCTGTTTAGTTAAATGTAATAATAAGAAAAGTTGAAAAGTATCATTCAGAATACTTTGCATATTTTTAATGAAATGCAGTTTTGAGATGGTTAATTTAAAATTCATTTATTAATTAAATGTATTCCAAATTGGTTACAACACCTTGGAAACCAGAAACATATAGCCAGAGAATGGCTTTGTTCATATACTTAGTAATAGTTATAGTTTAGAGAATTGTTGTATATATCTATGCACAGCTGAAATTGAGGAAGCTAGATATACAACTTTCTGTTCGTGTTTTCAAAATCAATAAGAACCGATGATGCAAGAATGCAGTAAAGTGAGAGGCAGAGCAAGCTAAGCCATGCACTACCACTGCTCACCACATGAGCCTGAGTAGGACTTCCTCCCACCTGTTAAGGTGCCTCTAGGAAGCTTCTGATGGCTTCCTAGGAAACAAAAGGGCCTTCTTTTCTTCTTACTCTTTGTAGAAGCTTCGCATAGTCGTTGGTTCTTGGCTCTCAGTAATTTATCATTTTTCTTACTCACTAACAAGTATCCCAAATTGCCCAGTGATTCCCAAACTCATAATAGATGACTTAATTCATCTTAGAGGTGAACCGGAGGACCTTAGGCGGGAAAATAAATATATGTTTAATTTCAAAGTATTGTTTAAAAATCAGAAATTATTATAAAATGGCATTAAGATAGCTATTTCAAATTAGTTTTCTTTTAAATGTGTTTTTGAAAGATATCTATTTCGGTATTAAAATTCACATATATACATGATGAAGCCAAGAGAAAATTAAGCATTTTAAAAAGAGAAA